AAGGAGATGGGGTGAACATCCAATCTTGGGAAGTATTTTAAAAAGGCCATCCCTGCTAACCAGATCAAATAATAATAATAATAATAATAATAATAATAATAATAATAATAATAATAATAATAATAATAATAATAATAATAATAATAATAATAATAATAATAATAATAATAATAATAATAATAATAATAATAATAATAATAATAATAATAATAATAATAATAATAATAATAATAATAATAATAATAATAATAATAATAATAATAATAATAATAATAATAATAATAATAATAATAATAATAATAATAATAATAATAATAATAATAATAATAATAATAATAATAATAATAATAATAATAATAATAATAATAATAATAATAATACAGCAACCCTTTCCAGAGTTTTACACATAGAGGATATTCAGAAGTGACTTACCATTCCCTTCTTCTGGGTGTGCCCTGGGACTGGACGGTTTTGAACAAGGCCACCTAGGGTGGCTCTTCTTCCAGAAAGCACAGTGGGGAATCAAGTTCCCAACCCCGGGCTAACCATCCTTTTCTGGTCATGGGAATGTGTGTAAATACAGCAGTCATGAAATAGACTTTGATCAACAAAAGCTCATGCCGAAATAAAATTATTAGTCTTTAACGTGCTACAACTTTTCTTTTTTCTTTTGACAACATGTTGAGACAGACTAACACAGGTACTTCTTTGGACACAACTATTAAAGGTGAGGGATGTGGTGGCGCTGCAGGTTAAACCGCAGAAGCCTCTGTGCTGCAAGGTCGGACGACCAGCAGTTGTAAGATCGAATCCACACGACAGAGCAAGCTCCCATCGCTTGTCCCAGCTCTTGCCAACCTAGTAGTTCAAAAGCATGCAAATGCAAGTAGATAAATAGGTACCACCACGGTGGGAAGGTATCAGTGTTCCATGTGTAGTCATGTTGGCTACATGACCACGGAAACTGTCTTCGGACAAAACGCTGGCTCTACAGTTTGGAAATGGGGATGCGCACCGCCCCCTAGAGTCGAACACAACTGTACTAAATGTCAAGGGGAACCTTTACCTTTACCTATTAAAGGTACAGCAAACCTATCTTCTTTTTCCTCTGGTCATCCTAAGTCATCTTCGGTTATATACAAATTCCTGCGTTACGTGGTGAAGGCTTCTGGGAATTGCAGTCCAAGTACATCTGGGGACCCAAGTTGGAGAACCACTTTATTGAACAAGACTTTTCATACACTTCATATATATACTTTAAAAAAATCTATTGTTTCTGGGTAGCAGAGCTAGTCTGTTCTAGCAAAAACAAAGAAGGTTCTTGAAAAACCTTAAAGACTGGTGAGACTGGAGCCCCCCCTCCATTACAGAACTGTACAGTTAGTAGTGAAAGGGTCATCTAATACCATCTCTTGCCAATGCAGGAATCAGCAGCATTAGGCAGGCTGAAATGAAACAGGTGGAATGTTTAATGGGATCAAGCAGTGATCTCATATCTTGAAAGGTACTCGGGAATATGAAAACCTGCAAATTAACAAATTAAAATGTATAGGATAGACTTCCACAAGAAATGGGCAGATAACTTCATAATTTATCTGGAATCCTATTCACTTGTCCTGAAGTATCCCCTCTAATGTGATAAAGATAATTACGCTTGATTATAGAGGTTTGAAGTTGTGATATGCACAAGATTATTTATGGTTGTTGACCAATTTAATTCTCATTAAAATCTTGCCAGACTTGTATTGTGAAGTGAGTCTATATGCCATAAAGGTATGTGCATAATAATTATGGTATGTTGTCAGTCAGTTGTAGGTGTTTTATTGTAGAGCAGCTGAGACACTTGAATAGACAAGCTCCTATAAATGAAATCCATTATTCTTCTCTCTGTCATTTACCCTGAGGGAATGAATAGTTGTTACTTTTCCATAGAGTCAGACATGTAGATAACTTGAAGTTTACTATCGAATGTGCCCTTGAAAATATGATTTTAAAAAGGAAATGTGTGATCCATCTATAGAAGCAAATTCTAAGTTGTACAATACCTGTATTGAATCACTAAAAGTTACAAACAAGGTAAGCTTTGAAAAGCTGGCTCTAAAACACATTCAACAAATTACCGTATTTTTCCATGTATAAAACAACACTTTTTTCTAAAATAATTAAAGGAAAAAATGAGGGTTGTTTTATACTCGGAAGTAAGGGGGGGATTTCTGCTTTCTCCCTCCATTTTCTTTGCAAAATATGAAGGGGGAAAGCTGCTTTTTGGAATGAAAATGTAGGAGGAAAGCAGAAATTGCTTTTCCCTCCACTTTCTTGCAAAGAAAGAAATTTTGGGTTAGAAAAGGAGGGCGCCTTATACACGGGGGTGTCTTATACACGTACATGAGAAGCCATTTCCCCCCTTCTCTCACACTCCATTACATGGGCACCACAGTGCTGATAATCTCTTCCTGTTAACCAGTTTCTTGAATATTAACCACTTCCCAAGAGAGGATGGGACAAATGGGTGTCCCACACCCCCACCCCCAGTTGTGCTTCATCCCCTGGATATTTTTTAAAAATACTGTTGTTTTAATTTGTGACATGAGAAACAAAATTGCAGGAGCTCCACAAGCAAATTGTTACTTCAAAACTGAATGTAACCTTTTAAAGGGAGGTTTTTTTTTTTAACGGAAAGGGTTGGTGAAAA